GGGGAAAGGGAGGGAGGAACAGACTGAACATAAACTGTACACCTATGGATGAGGACAATGGGGGGTGGGGAGGGGGCGTAGGGTGGGGTGGGAATCTGGTGGAAGGGGGAAGAAATGAGGAACCTTTGTAATAATATGAACAATAAAGATTGATTTAAAAAAAAAAAAAGACATCCCCTGAAAATAAGACCTAGTGCAACTTTGGGAGAAAAAATTAATATAAGACACTGTCTTATTTTCGGGGATACGGTACTAGGACACAAGTGAGGAAGTCAGAGAACAGGCTATGTCACAGGTTAATTATCAGGCTGCCTACAAGTCCCTTCTAGTTTATTTTCTATTATAGAAACGGTTCTGTGGATATGGCATTGCCCAGACATGAAGCAGCAGGCAAAAGGAAATGGCATCCTTCAGGAGAATGCAGTTGGAGGTACGCACATAATTCTCTCTTTCTGTTTCCGTTTTCAGACGTCCTATATTTTTGGAATAATGCTCTTGGTTTGGCTGAGGTGAGACTGGGTAAAAGAAATGAAAATATGACATGAACAGAAGGCAGAACAGCTGCAGACCCAGCCTCTCTCTTTTTACCCTGCCAGCCAACAGTTTTACCTTTCGCACGGAATCAGCAAGAAAGAATAGCTCTGAAAACCACACAAAGAGGTGATTTTCTTTTTCGTTACAGAGAGAGTGCCACAGGGCGGCTCCTGCAACCTCTGCTGCCCCGGCCTGGCCCTGGGAGAAGCCTTCCCCTCTAACCCTTTTTTCCCCCCCAAATATATTTTACTGATTTCTTACAGAGAGGAAGGGAGAGAGAGAGCTAGAAACATTGATAAGAGAGAAACATCAACCAGCTGCCTCTTGCACGCCCCCTACCGGGGATGTGCCCGCAACCAAGGTACATGCCCTTGACCGGAATCGAACCTGGGACTCTTCAGTCCGCAGACCGATGCTCTACCACTGAGCCAAACCGGTTTTGGCCCCTCTAATCCTTGAGGGTCACTATAGTAGGTGTTGGCAATAAGCAACTGAGTAAGTGGAGGCCAGTTTATAAAAGGGAACATTTTAGGTCTCTGATGTGATTGCTAATGTTTCAAGTTCTACAGATTTACCTGTTTCAGAAGGTCAGCCACTTTGCTGAAACTTCAGCTGGGTGCACGAAGCTTAGAACAGGTTGAGTTTAATGGTACTGAGGCCCTGACAATGCGAAGATAAACTACTTAATAGTCGCAGTCCACTCCTGTTCATACAGAGAACTTTTCTAGTAACAGAATAAATATATGTTCAATGCAGAAAAACTTGATAACCTATGAACTAACCCAAAGATAACCACTGTGAACATGTGGGTGAACATTCTTTCAGGAGCACAGCGTTAGGAGTGTGGGTACGGATGAGATACTAGATCAGTGGTCGGCAAACAGCGGCTCACAAGCCACATGCGACTCTTTGGTCCCTTGAGTGCGGCTCTTCCACAAAATACCACAAGCGGGCACGCACGTACAGTGCGATTGGAACTTCGTGGCCCATGCGCAGAAGTCTATTTTGAAGAAGTGGCGTTAGAATACTCAAGGGGCCAAAGAGACGCAGTTTGCCGACGACCGCTCTAGATGCAGATCTTACCTGAAGCGCTTGAACACACATAGCTGGGCACAATTTGTGTGGACAACTATTTAATCTCACTGACCCTCAGTTTTTCCTCATCTGTAAAGTGTAAATAAAAACAGTTCCTACCTCATAGGGTCCGGTAAACACTTAGTGAGGCAATATATGCAAAATGCTGAGGACAGAGCTTATCATATAGTAAGTGTATAAACAGGGTTTCTATTCTTTCTACACAAATGGTTATATACACATTTTTTTATTGATTTTTACAGAGAGGAAGGGAAAGAGACAGAGAGCTAGAAACGTCGAGGAAGGGAAAGAGACAGAGAGCTAGAAACGTCGATGAGAGAGAAACATCGACCAGCTGCCTCTTGCACACCCCCTACTGGTGATGTGCCCACAACCAACGTACATGCCCTTGACCGGAATCGAACCTGGGACCTTTCAGTCCACAGACAGACGCTCTACCACTGAGCCAAACTGATTTTGCTTATATACACATTTCTTTCCCATTTTATGGTCTCATGTCATAAATGCTGTTTGTAGCCTGCTTTGGTCATTTAGGAATGGGTTACAAACATTTTCCTGTGTTAGTAAATATCTTTTCACTACATATACGGGCCCTCAGGAAAGCTGCCCTAGACAGTGCCTAAGCACAGGTTGTTATGCTTGTTGAGCACATGAACTTGCCACTCTCAGCACAGCTAGAGGAATCCTCTCTAATAAAAGAGAAACATGCAAATTGATCGTATCTTCGCCACACCCACAAGTCACGCCCACCAGCCAATCAGGGCAAACATGCAAATTAACCCGACCAAGATGGCGGTTAATTTGCATACCAAGTCCAAAGCAAGGTAGAAAGAAGCCAAGTGCTGCAGAAGGGAGCGAAGCTGCGGAGAAGCAAGCAAGCAGGGCGGCAGAGAAGGTAGGGAAGCAGGCGGGGCGGGCAGAAGGGAGAGAAGCTGGTGGGGCAGTGGAGACTGCAGCAGGAAGCCCTATTGCAGGAATCTTCATGCAGGGGGCATCTAGTCCTATATAATAAAAGGTTTAAATGCAAATTGTCCCTTTGACCAGGAGTTCGATCAGGGGACAGGACCGGCCAGCCAACGCCCACGCCTCCTCACCCCAGCTGGCCAGAACCCCATCCATGCATGAATTCGTGCACCAGGCTTCTAGTAAGAAATAAGCAACTGGGCAAAGGTATGGCAGACATCTTCAAAATGGCAGGAGCTGATGAGATGGCCTGGCAGCTCTGACCAACAGTTGTAACTAGGCAACACCAATCAGATCCTTCCTTGGGAAGACTGAAAGTGAGATGCACACAGGGAGGAAAAATACAAAATAAAAAGGTGCAAGCAGGAGCCAGGAGACTGAGAAGAGGTGAAGGCGGCGGCTCCTTCACACTGGAAGGGAGGGACTGGGCCACGGGTGTGGGTGCGGGTGTGGGTGCGGTGATGAGGCTGCTTGAGCTACAGACATTCCCACTGTCATCTGCCCACCATGAGCGAGCCCGAGCCCTGCCTGTGCACAGTGGCCCATGCTTTCATTTCTGCACAGCCTGGCTGGGTGGGTGCTGCAACACTGTTATTTTCTTCCTCATTTAACTGAAGAACCAGCAGATACATTTACTCCTAACAACCTGAAAGTGCATTTATGTGGCTGCTCCAGTTGTCATTTCAATAATAGTAATAACTGTAATAACTGTAAAATACAAAAAATATATTTTCTTTCTTTTTTTAATCCTCACCCAAGGAGTGAGGATATTTTTTCCATTGATTTTGAGACGGGGGGGGAGGTTAGGGAGAGGGAGAGGGAGAGGGAGAGGGAGAGGGAGAGGGAGAGGGAGAGGGAGAGGGAGAGGGAGAGGGAGAGGGAGAGGGAGAGGGAGAGGGAGAGGGAGAGGGAGAGGGAGAGGGAGAGGGAGAGGGAGAGGGAGAGGGAGAGGGAGAGGGAGAGGGAGAGGGAGAGGGAGAGGGAGAGGGAGAGGGAGAGGGAGAGGGAGAGGGAGAGGGAGAGGGAGAGGGAGAGGGAGAGGGAGAGGGAGAGGGAGAGGGAGAGGGAGAGGGAGAGGGAGAGGGAGAGGGAGAGGGAGAGGGAGAGGGAGAGGGAGAGGGAGAGGGAGAGGGAGAGGGAGAGAAGAGAAGAGAAGAGAAGAGAAGAGAAGAGAAAAAGAAAGAAACATCACTGTGAAAGGGATACATCAGTTGCTTGTCTCCCACACACCTCGACCCTCAGGTATGTGCCCTTGATAGAGAATCAAACTCACAACCCTTCAGTGAGTAGGCCAATGCTCACCACTGAGCACACCAGCCAGGGCAAAAAAAAATTATATTTTCTTAAGTACTTGCTGTGTGTTAAGCCCTGGGGATTCAACAGTGAGCAAGAGAGAATGATACCTTGGCTACATAGAGCATCAATTCTATCGCAACGACAAGCAAGTATTATAGTGCCAATAAAGGATGGCAGACACCATGATGTAGAAGTACAGACTGCAATAGACACAGGAAGAACAAGTCTGGGTGGAATTACAAAGACTGGATGAGAGAAGTAACTTTCAGATTAAGGCAAAAGAAATGTAGAGTTGAGACCTGTTCCAAGTGCTATTTTATATGTTCTTGGAATCAGTATTACCTCCCTGTGGAACAAGCAAATAATCTAAAACACTATGTGGTGAGAGGAAGTAAATGGGGTGATGAAACTTATACCAGCCATTAGGAATCTAACTGAGATAACATAAGCAGAGCAGAAGATGGTGTTGCCACAAGAGACGATGGAGAAACATTAGTTCCTTCCTTTTGAATTGCAATCTCTCAGTTTCTCTAATCTATCTGTAAGCTCTTGAAGTACAGAAGCAAGGGTCTAAGACTTTACTTCTGACTATTCTGGAGTATTAGTTAGATATGCAGGGCATGGCTCAGGAACTCAAAGCATGTACAGTGAACATCATCTGACTACAATAAAACAAAAAAAGTACTGTTCTCTCGAGCTGCACCGTTAACAGCTCTGGCTGACAGAATTGCTGCTTTAGCCACTGCTCGACAGCCAGGAGCCAGGGAGCACAGGAGAACAAGGCTGCCATCTCACACCCAAAGGCTAATGAGAATGAGCGTGTGTACCGAGACTGCCTGTTCTCCGCAGTTCTTCCGGCTGATCAGCTAGCTGACTCCTGATCTTCTTACCGGAAGAGACCCCGGCAGTCACCGGGCTGTCTGGTATAAGTAGACACAGTGACTCTGTGAGAACCCTTCCTGCGTAGAGCGGTGCCTGATAAACACTACCATGTCACCGCCTGACCTCCTCTTTAATCCACACGGTAACTTAAATGCCTTCTTTCTACGACCATCAGTGTGTTTATCAGGTTCACGTTCACAGGGTACGCCGTGCTCTTTCTTGGTGCATACCTCCTCACAGACTTCCCGGACTGCTGCCATGCCCGGCTCCTCCTCAGGCTCCATGCCTCCTCCAGGGACAATCCACCGGTCTGGATGGCGACTGCTACTCACCAGTAGCACCTGAAAATCACACAGGCCACATGGTGGTTAAAAACTCAAAAGACACATTCATACAAATTCAGAATTTAAACACCACAAAAGTAAAAATACCTAAGACCCCTTTGTTTACACCTCTCCAAATCACTTCTTGCAAGGCAGCTTTCGTTTCTCTTTGAAAAAAGCAGGTTACCTGCCTAGTAAAAGCAGGGGGGCATCTAAACCAATGGATCACCCCTGCTTTCCCTTCCAATTCTGCCAACTGTTCCATCTACCCTCTCCTTCATTGCTTCCTCTAAAACCCACTGAATGCAGAGCTGACGAAAAATAGAGAGATTGTCTCTGAGGAGCATGTGAGTGCTGTGAAGGGCTGGCCAGAAGGAAAGGCCTTAGCTGGGGCTGGTACCACAGTCCCACCTTCCCTTCTGTGTCCAGATCCTGCTCCATCAGATGGCCACGGGCCACACAACCTGCCACCCTAGGCCCTAAGTGTGCACTGAACACCTCATTCTCTCATCTACATGGAAAGTAGAATATTCCTTTTCATCATGCTTTCAGATGAGATAAAACTGTAATTTTTTTTTTTTTACTAAGAAATTTTTTTTAATATATTTTATTGATTTTTCACAGAGAGGAAGAGAGAGAGATAGAGAGTTAGAAACATCGATGAGAGAGAGTCATCAACCAGCTGCCTCTTGCACACCCCCTACTGGGGATTTGCCCGCAACCAAGGTACATGCCCTTGACCGGAATCGAACCCGGGACCCTTCAGTCCGCAAGCCGATGCTCTATCCACTGAGCCAAACCGGTGCCGGCTTTACTAAGAAATTTTATTAAGAAGTGAAAAGCAAAGCAAACAAAGACATAAAAATATTGATAGAGAATTCAGTTTACTAATTCAAACTTAACCAGCATTTATTTATTTAAAATCTTTTCTTGTTTAAAGTATTATATGTAGTATTACGTATGTCTCCTTCCTCCCCCCCCCCCCCCCCGCTGACCTCCCCCTGGCCACCCTCACCCCTACCCTCACCAGCATTTTAGACACGGCTAAAATAAAATCTGGAATTTCTCTAGTCCCTCTTCCTTACCCTTCTCAAGGACTCATGCTAAACAAAGTTAGCAGCACCCATTTGGGAGTAGAGTTGGGTTGGCATTATTCCTAAAATTAAAGGAATCCCCAAGTGCTCCCTAAGCCATCACTTTCTGATAGTCTTTGAGCATCCATTCTTATCGCAAACCATATTCCTTACCTACCCCTTCACTCTAGTCCACCCTCAGCACTTAACTTCTACTCTGCAGTCATCTTTGCTGCCTAAAAGAATATACTACTTCCTCTGTACCCTTTACAGATTCCACCACTAACTTCCAGTTATCTACCTTCTAGTCATCCCCTCCCCCCCTAATTGATTTGCTATATAATAATACGTAGGCTTTCTTCCTAGAGTTCCCCCATGTTCTGGCTGTTCTCTGGACACAGGAATTTGATAGTTCAATGACATGTCTTATGAATACTTCTAGTTACAACCATAAATGTGGACTGGAGCAAAGAGGGAAAGCGAATGAGATTTGGAAAACAATCTTAGATCTTCCAGCCAGGATGAAAGGAAGCAGGGGGAATGCGCGCATCTGCAGAGCTTACCTAAAAGAGCTGTCCCCATTTCCTCTACCTGCCCTTGGTGTCATGCAAGTTCCCATCCCCACCACCAAGAGAACAGCAGTGGTAGATCTATTCCAGGTATCCCATGTTATTAACGTTCTGGAAATATTGTCCTTAAAAATTAGTTTATCTATGGTAATACATCTTAGATTACTAATTCCCAGAAAATGGCCTGCAGTAATGCACCTAACATGATCTCATTTCCAGCAATGTAATGTCCCAGTTGACAGTCCCTCAGGCCTGCTATTACCACCTTCTGATATCCCAGATGGCACGGGGCTGCACCCTATCAAATCTGTGCCATGCCCTGCAGACTGCTTCTACAATCAGCTCTTTCTAGTAATTTGTGTGTTCCTTCTTAAAGATAAAACCAACACAATAGTGGATAATTATCTGAACTTGCTTGGATTCCAGATAAATAAGAGTTTCTCTTTTTACAGAACAACTGCCACAAGTTCGTATGCACAACGACCCTATGTTTAAAAGAAGAGTAAAGCTAAGTAGGAGGTGAAACAACCTTTCAGATTAAATCAGTGACTTATCAGAGGGCCAAGCATTAGTAGTTTCCGTTCCTAGAGTTTTAAAGCCATTTTACCCCTAAGCTACTTTTTTTCCTACCCAGGAGCTCAAATACTGCTACAAAGAGGAACCAGCAGACATAAACAGTTTACAAAACTCCTCATAAACAGCCCTTCACTTTAATCAGGTTGTTTATGTAATAAAAAAAGGAAATTCCCTGACTAGTCCAAAGAAACACTGTTGTGTTGTGAATAGATATTCTGACAATTTTTACTTTGGAAGCAAGAAGGTATTTTAAGAGCAATACGAAAAGGTGGTAACATACACAAATATCATCCTTAAGTATGAGTCCAAGGGTATGGAGTATGGATTATATGGAGTATTAGACTTCTAAATGAGAGTGTCCTGCTCTGTCTTTTCAAATTAATGTCTAAATACTAAAATAAGCACACATAACACTTTATATTGCCTGGTGTTCAATGGCTTTATCTTTTATCTTTAAAGAGAAGACTAAAGAAATCAGTTATATAAAAATAAAAACAAAGAGTGAAAGTACACTGTTTGAATATAGCTCACTGGGACATCCAGTGTGCTCTTATAAACCTCAACCCCTCCCACAACTCTTGTAAATACTGAAAGGAAACAGACTAATACCAAGGGGAAATACAGGGATAATTACAGTCGCAGTGTTTATTCAGCACCCACTTTAAGCCATGTGCGGCTTTTTACATATTCTATTTTTACTGCACTCTCTACTTCTCTAACAACCATGCAAGCCAGGTGTTATGTAATTCTCACCATTATAGAAATGAGAAAAGTGAGCCTTAGATGTATCTTTCAATCTAAAGTATCTCTTGTGGGCAGCATATGTAAGGGTCTTTTCTTTCTTTTTGTGCCTTTTTTGTTTTGTTTGTTTTTTTAATATATTTTATTGATTTTCCACAGAGAGAGAGGGAGAGGGATAGAGAGCTAGAAACGTTGATGAGAGAGAAACATCAACCATCTGCCTCCTGCACACTCCCTACCAGGGATGTGCCCACAACCAAGGTATATGCCCTTGACAGGAATCAAATCTGGGACCTTTCAGTCCGCAGACCGACGCTCTATCCATTGAGCCAAACCGGTTTTGGCTGCCCTTTTTTTTTTTTTTTTTTTAAGAAATAGATGATAGCTAGATAGCTAGATAGATACAGAGAAAATCGATGTGAACAAAATATCAACTGGTTATCTCCTGCAACCAGTGTTCTAAGCAGAGATTGAACCCACAACCTCGGTACGTGCCCTGACTGGGAATCAAACCCACAACCTTTTGGCGTAGGGATGACGCTCCCCCTAAATGAGCACCCAGCTCGGACAAGGGTCTTATTTTCTTATCCATTCAGCCATTCAATGTCTTATGATGGGAACATTTAATCCATTTACGTTTAAAGCAATGCTGATAGGTATGTACTTATTGCCATTTTATTATTCATATTTTTTACCTTTTTTTTCTTCTTAAAGAAGTCCCTTTAAAATTTCTTGTAATATTGGTTTGGTGGTGATGAACTTTAGCTTTTTCTTGTCCGGAAAGGTTTTTCTCTGTCCTTTGACATAAATGATAGCTTTGCTAGGTATCATCATCTTTTTTTTAAGTCCTTGCTTTTCATTATTTTGAATATTTCAGGCCAATCCCTTCTGATCTTAAAGTTTCTGTTGATAAATCGACTGACAGTCTATGGGAGATTCCTTGCAGATAACTACCTTTCACTTGTTGCTTTCAAAATTCTCTTTGTATTTAACCTTTGGCATTTTATTTTATTATTTTTTTTTTTTTTACTAAAGAAATTATTTTATGTGCAAATAATATGTAGACATTTTACCCATAAATTCAATTTTCCTGAAAACAATTAGCTTTTTAAAAGAAAAGCTCTTGTATTCCCCTGCTTCTAAATCATTGTTGAGTGAAAAAAATAAAGCCTGTTCTACCAGGAATCTCAAGTTAGAATTTTCTCAAAAGTGAAATTAGAGAGCAGAGTGCCATTTCAGAAACAACTATTCAACACTCATCCCAACATCCACAACTGCCTTTCTGAACAGGTAAACCAGATAAAAGGAATCCAACATGAGGCCCTTATGTTCTTCTAATATATTAATAAACCAAAACATGAAATATTGAAATCAAAATAAATGAGTACTTGAGGCTAATTAGCATTCAGATTGTTCGTTCCTTGTCATATCCCTCCTTCTATAAAGTTAATAAAGGAAAGATTTTTACTGAAAAGAACATTTTATTTTATATATCACTAGCCATGAATGTTTGTCATCGTTACTACATAAATGCTTCCTGGTGCCATTATCCAAGTGGCACCACCATTTTATGCCCACAATTCACTTTGTATTTATAAAATTTTCATAATTTACATCTATCACTATCAGTACATCTATCACTGAACATTTAGCATTGAGGTGCAATCTAGCATCCATATTATCAGATGTTTTGCAGATAGTAATGTAGAAGAGATGTATTTTTAATCACCTTTTCATCTGAGTCACCTTATGTAAAAAATAAATCAATAACTTAAAGCACCTAAGTCTCTAAAGGACATTTCCAATGTGCTCATAGAAATAGTTAAACAGGATTGTCCGAAACAACTTCCATGTCCACATCCTCTTGTAATAGTTTCTGTACCATTTTGTCTTCCAACTGCTTTCCTTTGCATGCAATAGGTGCCCGGATAAGATGGATGTTTTGCTTGACTTCTTTGATGTCCTGAACTTTCTGTAGTTCTTTATTTTTCTTCAACCTGTTCATTATAAATTTAGCTTGACGTTTCTGTTTGATCTCTTCAACTCTCTTCATTGCATC